AGCCTTTGTATACACAGGCAATGCCATGGCAGAGAAAGAATTTCTAATCCCATTCACAATAGCTACAAAAACAATCAAATACCTTGGAATAAACTTAACCAAGGATGTCAAAGATCTCTACGATGAGAATTACAAAATCTTAGAAATAGAAGAGGATACCAAAAAATGGAAAAATCTTCTATGCTCATATATGGGAAGAATCATATCATCAAAATGTCCATTCTTCTGAAAGCAATTTACAATATCAGTGAGATACCAATCAAAATACCAAAGACATTCTTCTAAGATCTAAAAAAAATGATGCTGAACTTCATATGGAGGCACTGGAGACCTTGAATAGCTAAAGTAATCTTATACAACAAAAGCAAAGCCAGAGGCATCACAATACCAGATTTTGATACATACTACAGGGCAGTTATAATCAAAACAGCATGGCAATGGTACAAAAACAGATGGATAGACCAATGGAACAGAATAGAAACACCAGAAATCAATCCAAGCATCTACAATCAACTAATATTTGATTAAGGAGCTAAAACCAATTCCTGGAGGAAGAACAGTCTATTTAACAAATGGTGCTGGGAAAACTGGATTTCCACATGCATAAGTATGAAGCAAGACCCCTACTTTACACCTTACACAAAAATCCATTCAACATAGATTAAAGATCTAAATCTATTACTCAACACCACCAAATTATTAGAGAGCATGGGAGAAACCCTGAAAGATATTGGCACAGGCAAAAAATTTCTTGGAAAAGACCTCAGAGGCATAGGCAGCCAAAGCCAAAATTAACAACTGTGATTACAATAAATTGAGAAGTTTCTGCATGGCAAAAAAAAAAAAAAAAAAAAAGTGAAGAGGCAACTGACAGAATGGGAGCAATTATTTGCAAACTATGCAATTGATAAAGGATTAATAACCAGAATCTACAAAGATACCAAGAAACTCCACAACAACAAAACAAACAACCCACTTAAGAGAGGGGCCAAGGACCTCAATAGACATTTTTCAGAAGAGGAAACCCAAATGGCCAATAGACACATGAAAAAAAATGTTCAAGATCACTAGCCATCAGGGAAATGCAAATCAAAACCACAATGAGGTTCCACCCCTCCCTGGTTTGAATGGCTCTCATACTGAAATCAACAAACAACAAATGCTGGTGAGGATGTGGGGAAAAAGGTACCTTAATCCACTGTGGTGGGAATGCAAACTGGTAAAGCCACTATGGAAGACAGTTGGAGATATATCAGAAATCTGAATATAGCCCTACCACATGACCCAGCCATCCCACTCCTCAGAATTTACCCAAATGAAATGAAATCAGCACATGTAAAGTTATCTGTACCCCATGTTTATTGCAGCTCTATTCTCAATAGCAAAGATACGAAATCAACCTAAATACCCAACAGAAGGCTGGATAAAAAAAAATTAAGGGTTATGTACTCTATAGAATACTACACAGCAGTAAAAAAAAAAATGAAATCTAGTCATTTGCAGCAAAATGGAGGAATCTGAAAAACATGCTGAGTGAAATAAGCCTGTCCCAGAGGGACAAATATCATATGTTCTCCCTGATCTGTGACAACTAACTGAGCACCTAAAAGGAAACCTGTTGAACTGAAATTGACACTATGAGAAGCAATGACTTGATCAGCCCTTGTCCTGACTGTCAAGGAACAGCTTATTATTTTATGCTTTTTATTATTTTCTTTTTTACTTAATACCATTGGTTGAACTCTTTACTTAACACGGAATTATTCTTAAGTGTTTAAATCCAATTGAAAATTGATCCCTGTAAAAATAAGAGTGGGAATAAGAGAGGGAGGAGATGTACAGTTCAGCACATGTTCCCATGAACTTACCTCTAAGGGGAAAGCTAAAAACTTGCCATGGGACTCCCAAATCCCATTAAGTTGGCAGGTACTAATGCCATCTTGATATATAAAGCAATCATTTTAAGTACGTAACTGATCATAAAGACAGGAATAATTGTCAAATGGATCATATAAATAATACCAAGTGTCTGTTAATAACAATAGAAAGAATTAAAAAGGAGAGAATGAGCCAACATGGGAAGCAGGCCACATAGCAGACTCATAGAATGACAAATACCCTAAACAGAACTCTGGCCTTAGAATTAGCCCTTAAGGCATTCAGATCCAGCTAAAAAGCCCATGAGAGCATTTCAGACATGGAAAACCAAGACTCTGTGGCAAAAAAAAAAAAGCCTATATGAAAGATCTCTGTGAGTGAGATTCCAGTGGAAAGAAGGGACCATCAAAGAAGGAGGTACCTGTCTCTGAAGGGAGGAGAGAACTTCCACTTTGTCTATGGCCCTGTCTAAATACTGACAGAGTTTGTGGATTCAAGAGGCTTCCATAGCCTTGGCAGCTCATGATAACCTGGTGCCACAGGTGAAAGCTTAACATAGTACACCACAGCACCAGCCCCCAAAATGTAACCAAAGAAGTGAAAGACGTGTACAATGAAAATTATCAAACATTTATGAAAGAACTCATCAAGGACACAAGAAAATGGAAAGATATTCCTTGCTCATGGATCAGAGGAATCAATTCATCAAAATGTCTATAATACCTAAAGCTATTTACAGATTTAAAGTAATCCCTATCAAAATATCAATGGCATTCCTTACAATGTTAAAAAAAAATCTTAAAATTCATATGGAATCACAGAAGACCCGGACTAGCCAAAGTGATACTGAGCAAGAAAAACCAAGCTGGAGGTATCACAATACCTGATTTCAAAGCATACTACAAAGCTACAGTAATTAAAAGAGCTTGGTAGTGGCACAAAAACTGGTATATAGATCGAAGGAACAGAATAGAAAGCACAGAAATTAAGTCAATGATTTTTCAGAAAAGTGCTCAGACTATACAGTAGAGTAAGGATAATCTCTTTAACAAATGGTGCTGGCAAAACTGGATGTGTATATGTAGAAGAATGAAATAAGATACTTCAACTCAATCCAACAAAAATCAACTCAAGATGAATCAAAGATTTAAATTTAAGACCTGACATTATGAAGTTGCTGGAAGAAAATCTAAGGGAGACACTCCCAGTCATCAGGGTAGGGGATGGCTTCTGGGAAAGGACCACCAAACCACAGGCAACAAAAGCAGAGCTGAACAAATGGGACTGTGTCAGACTCACAAGCTGTTGCACAACAAAGGAAATGATTGCAGAGTGGAGGGACATCCAACAGAATTGGAAAAAAATATTTTCAAACCACCCATCTGACAAAGGATTATTATCTTGAATATATCAGCAACTTTTAAAACTCAACAACAACAAAACTCAAAAAATCCAGTTAAGACATGAACAAATTACCTCAATAGACAGTTCTCAAAAGGAGAAATACAAATGGCCAACAAATAAATTTAAAAATTCTCAACATCATTAGCCACCAGGGAAATGCAAATCAAACCCACAATGAGATATCAACTCACCCCTGTAAGAATGGTTAAAATTCAAAACACAGAGAGTACCAAATGCTGCCAAGGATGTGGAGAAAGGGGCACACTTGCACACTGTTGGTGGGAATGTGAATTACTATAGCCACTGTGGAAAAAGGTGTGGAGATTTCTTTAAAAACTAGAAATATACTTGCCATATGATCCAGCATTCACACTACTGAGTATATACTAAAAAGAATTGAACACACTGTATCAAAGAGATACTTGCATCATGCTTATAGCAGCACTGTCCACCTTGGAGCCAACCAAGGTGTCTATCATCAGATCAATGGGTAAAGAAAATGTGGTATTCATACACAGTGGGATATTATTCAGCTATTAAAAAAAATAAAATTCTACCATTTGTAGCAAGATGGATGTAACTGGAGGACATCATGTTGAGTGAAGTAAGCCTGACCCAGAAAGAGAAATACCATATGTTCTCCATTATATGTGAGAGCTAAAAATTTAAAGAACAAACAAAAAACAAAGAGAGAAAAAAGAAAAGGAAGAAATGTTTGTGTGCATCATTTTTGCTGCAAATATAGTTTTTGTAACATTTTTTTGTTTTATAGCTCTGTCAAACCAATGGTTAAGAATGTTATACTGGGGCCAGCGTTGTGCCCTAGCTGCAGTGCCACAATCCAATATGGGCTCTAGTTCAAACCCCAGCTGCTCCACTTCAGATCCACCTTTCTGCTATGGCCTAGGAAAATGGCCCAGTGGTTGGGCCCCTGAACCCACATGGGAGACCTGGAAGAAGCTCCTGGCTCCTGGCTTCGGATCAGCGCAGCTCCGGCCATTGAGGCCAACTGGGGAGTGATCCATCGGATGGAAGACTTCTCTCTCTCTCTCTGTGCTTCTCCTCTCTCTGTGTAACTCTGACTTTCAAATAAATAAATAAATCTTTAAAATAAAAAAAGAAAATAGTGGAAGGAAAGATGTAATAGATGTAATAGAGAAAACACAGAAGTGGCCACAGGCTAAATATTTCAGTCAGCACAAAACATGGACAAAGCTCCCTGGGACTGGAAGGCAGTCCTGAGTGAGGCAGAAAGAGAAAAGTAAGCAAACAGAGTTTCTGGATTAGCAAATGAAACACAGGATACACAGGTAAATGTGAATTTCAGATAAACAATCAGTAGCTTTTCCAATGTAGTGGAACATGTGTATGGACATATGTGCTGTACAGTGTTTGGGATTTAATGACACTAAAATTCTATTGGTTATTCCTGTTGAGGTTTGTGTTTTATCTGGCAATGCAATTCCAGGGAGCCAGCAGCCCCCTCCTGGTGGACACTACCTCCCGGCTAAGCTCACAGTGCAGGTTTGCAGTTACCTTTAATCCATTTAAACCTCACAGTCAAGCTCTTCAAAAACCAGTCCCCACTGAGTTTCAGATAATAAATTCTATCCGGAGGATTTCCCTTGCATTTTTATCATTGACCTTGAAAAGGAACATATTAACCATTGGTTTTCCAACAGGAGGCTGACTTTAGCATTTTTCTTCTAATCTAGTGTGAAACCAGATGGCCCCTGAACACTGTGGGAGTGGCTTTTTCCCTAACTGGACTCTACCCCCTTCAATGGGAAGCAGTCATTCAAATATACATAGGTCAGTTGCCCAGTGAAGAGCGTGGCCGCCCTGAGCAAGGTAAGTACCAATCTTATAAATCTTCCTACATTTTTTTCACATCTTCCCCATTGGATACCTAGAAAAATCATTTGAAATGTGTTCTAAGCATAAGGAAAAAAATGTGTTTTATCTCACTTTGTACCTTTTTGCTGTACTTAGATAATAGGCCAAGCATTGTTTTTCAATTTCTATTGCATACACCTTTATAGAAATGCAAAAATGTGAAATTTTAAACCAAGGCAGGAGACTTTAATAGTATGACAAAAATAAATGATTTAGGAGAAAAAAAGACATTGTAACATTTTTAGACCAACTGAGACTATGATCAAAGCAAAAGAAAAGCATATTCAAAGATTTATTGTCATAGGAACAAATTAGTCTGAATGTGAGAAGTAGATTCTAATTCAGTCTTTGCCTGTAATTAGCTAAATGACAAGTCCCAATCTCTCCCTCCCCTTCCCCCTCCCCCTCCCCCTCCCCCTCTCCCTCTTCCTCTCTCTCTCACATACTCCACCAGGTTCAACCAACTCATGGCAAGTCTAGAGAATAGCTAAGGCAGGCTTCGCACGCTCAGCACTGCTAACCCTGAGCACAGCATAACTGTGTAGAGATGTCCTATTCATTGCAGGAATTCAGAGGTGTCCCCAGCAGCTCCCACCTGTTGCTGCTGGATGTGACATCCTAAAACGTCTCCAAACATTGCTGAATGTTCTCTGGGCTGTGTGAACCAGTCCACCCCTGGTTGAGAATCACTGGGCTGCAGCACATCTCACACTGACGGGAGAAGTAGGTGACCACTGGAGGACATAAGTACTTGGAAAAAAAAAAAACATACAAACAGCCAGCTGCACTGTAGAAATCAATAGGATTAGAACATAAGAATCAAAAATACTCCCTCTTTTATTGGAGAAAAAAATTCTTATAAATGAGAGATTATGAATTTCCATGAAATTCTCTGAAAATCCAAGTGTCAGAGAAACCAGTGACTATCAACGATCACAGGAAAAAAAAATTACAACACTCGTGGGGGAAATAGTGAAATGACCATGAAGCTAAGCATGTTGCAAGATACCTCAGAGAGCAATGTCTGGACCAGCGTGCGATATGTTCCTAATGTGAATGGGAGGAAGGGAGACATATAAGGGATACTGAGATAGTGTCCCAGAAGGAAGAAGTCACCTGGGCTAAGGGGCGGGGTTGTCGCTTCTTTTCATCTAGAAGACTTCTCACCTTGCTCTGATTTACTTGGCTAAGAAAAATCAAGATTTTTTGGTTTGGATTTCCAGGAACCCATAAGTGAAGCCAGGGCTGGGCACACTCTGCTGTGTCAGGTGTCTCCAGCACTGTGGTTCTGATCCGATTTAAACCTCTTCAAGGGAGGGACCAAATCATTGTTATCTTATTTCCTACCCACTATCGTTATTGCTTGGTACACAGAAACTGCTTGGCTGGGAAACTAGGATGAGATTTGGAAGGAAGGAAGTACATTGGTACTTACAACAGAAACAAACAAGTGTAGAAAGATCCAGAGACATACGTATTTCCAGGAAATGAACAGGATGTTAGAGAGAAGGTATCCCTTTCATCAAGTGTTAACTGTGAAACCCTGTGCTAGAGCCACGAACAGCCAGACAGAGGGATTGTTTTTCCCAATCACACGGCTGTTATCCACACAAGGAGAGCCCCGAAACAAGAAAGGTTCTTGCGTGCCAGGGCAGGGAGTGATTGGCAGCAGGGCCTGGCCTGCGAAGACTGTCCAAGGGGTGCACAGGATGGGGTTGGACCGGGGATCTGGTACAGTCTGGGTGCTAAGTAAGCAAGACTGCATCAATACATTCCAGGCCTCACCAAAAACTTGCTGTTTTGTTAATCTAGGTTAGTTGATTAACAAAAGACATTTACTTTTGCACAGGGGCTAAAACAGGAGGTCCATCTTGTGACTTGTATATGAAAAGTAGATAGGACCACCTCTGTTTTCACAACAGAACACTGAGGTCAGATTAAGCCATCTAACAAGTTTACCTACCTCCTACTGGAAGATTTTGGATATCTAAGTCTCCCTTTTAAGAAACCATGTAAATAGGACCATTCCGGAAATATAACTTCTTTAATTTGCTTCCAGAATTATCACAGGTGATATTCCTTTAAAACAAGACCATTTTCTTATAGATAAGAATATAAGAAATCTTCAAAACGTTCAGAAAAAAAAATATGCAAAAGTATGTGTAGATTTCAAAATTTTTTGCACCAAAATAAATTTTTCTTTCAATCCTTTTTTATGACATATTTGAAGATTCTTCAGACAGTTTTGCTAGTCCTCAGCTGTTGAGGCTGTCAAGGTAAAGCAAGGCACACACTTATCAATTCTTTTCTTTGAATCCAGCTTCTAAAAGCTGCTGACAGGAAGGAACGGGTGGATTAGATATCCTCCTGTCTGGCACCCATTCCTTCCTTTAGTTGTTAACGACTCTGAACACAAAATAAACAGAGGTCCTCAGAGGGGAGCAGAGAGAAGGGGTGAGGCTCCATGTGGAGCCGAAATCAGGAGGAGGAGTTCCTGCTGAGTCGGCATCACACGGAGTGCAGAGTGGGCAGCTGCGCTCTCTCTGACTGACCTTCAGGGCTCCTCTGTAAGGAGGACACTGGGGGCTGTTTCCCAGGGCAGCGGTGAGGGCAGACTCCCCCCCTAGCTGCTGACTGTGAAGGTCAGGAGCAAGACCCGTCTTCCTTCTCAGATTCTGCTGACCCACTCGGGCTTTGTGGCCACTTTGCCCAGTCTTGGCCTGGTGTTTGGAATTTGGAAGGGGGAGAAAGCTACTTATCAGGAAGAGAGTTCTGATAAATACTTTGTAAGATCACAATTCAGCTCCCTTTGTAAAGTGATCCTCAGTCAATGGCTAAGGGAGCTGAGTGGGGACTGGACTCGCTCGGTGCCAGCCACTTCAATTTCTCACGGCTGCACACAGCTCCCACACTAGTGTGAGCCTCCCTCTCCCTTTCATTCTGCTGGCTCCTACCACCTCCCTTTTCCTGCCAAGAAAGCACAATACGCAGTCTCCAGTTCTAAGACAGATGACTTAAGTATGTTCCTAAATTTTTTTTTTACTTTCTAAAGGTTAAATTAACCAAGTTTCACGATATAACATATAAACACTTAAAGCATTTTAATGTCTAAAATTGAAGTCACACATACTTTTTCAGAAATACAACCATTGGGAAAGACAAGTACATTTTTGTCCCAAACTTAACAACAAAACTTTGCAAGAATAATCTCACTGTTTCATAATAGACCTTGGGACTTGGGGAAAAAATGTAACTGTTCCTACCCAAGTTCTGGCGCTGGGACTGCTGTTTTTCATGTGTCCTCTGGGTTTGTTATCACACTCGTGATTCTTTAGTTACATCCACCCCTGAAGCCGCTGGGTTACATTCTCTGATTCTCTGCTCTGTTCTGCCTCCCAAGCAGCCTGAGCAAGAGCAAGAGCCTCAAACTCCCTTGATGGAACTGAATCAATGTCTATTTCTATTTACCGTGATCAAATGAGCAAGCACAGGTGCACACATCCATCTGTAGACGATTTACACACAGCTGAACCAAAAACTCATGTGAAAAGAGAAAATTGCAACAAAAATACTTTTACAACTCTTAATTAGCTTTGTGATTCTAGAATTGGACAGAGTTACAGATAAAAAAGAGACAACAACAGGGACATACAATATTTATAATCAGAGAAAAAGAAGTGAAAGGTACAGAGACAGCCCCACTGGTTACATCTCTCCTCCATTTTATTTGAATAGTAGTTGAAGACTTGGCCACCTGCTTTAGGAAGTCTCAACTACTTGTCCCAAGAGTGAGTGACAGTCTGTCTACATATAAAGTTAGGTTGCAGTTCACTATATACGGAAAAACCTTGAGGATAAACAATGCAATTTAAAACTCAGATATCACCCTATCCGCATGACACTTTCTATTCTTTTCTGCTTTATTTTTTAAACTAGTGGATTCCACATTCCACTGAGGGATTGTCAGGCACATTTTTGAAAAACACTAATACTGAAGTTAAAGTCTAGACTTTGGCTTGAATAGAGGGGTGTTGAATACCTGGCCTAGCGCTTACTTTCAGTAGGCTACTCTAGAAAACTCATTACCCCAACTGTAAAAATAATAATTAAAACAAAATTCACCTTAGGTGACTTTGGTAGAATAAAATGAAGATTCATTTATGAGATTGCCCAGCGTGTGACGGATGATGAACAAATGTGAACTCCATTCCATACACTGGGAGCTCAGTAGAGCAGCATCTCTTTTTCTAGATTACAAAACAAAATAAGAAGTACAGAAGTCACACCATAGGTCTAGAGAAAGAAATGTCGAATCTTTTGAGATACCACTAACCAAGTCTGAAGCCTAATTTCTGCTTTCATCAAATTCATCCTTACAGCCAAATAGCTGCAAAGAGACTTGGCTCCCTCCTGTTCCTAATCATCAGTGATGTCCTCTGGTTCCGAGTTCCCTTGATAAGTTCCAGTGGCCCAGTGTGGGTTCCAGACCTGCCCTCTTCTTAATCCTGGTCTGGATTCCCATGTCCATCACTGATAGAGTGTGATCATTGCATTTGACCTCTCTGGTTTCATTAACTAAAAAACAGAAAATAACAGCCATAGTCATGTACTGAATAAAAATGTTTCAACCAATAGCAGATGACCCATGCAATGTTGATCTCATGTGATTACAATAGAGCTGAAAACTTCCTGTCACCTAGTGATGTTCACGCCATGCTTATGTCAGAGTGCAATGAATTAGGCATGTGTTTCTGGTGATGCTGGTGTAAATGAATCTACTGCACTTCCAGTCATTTAAAAGTATAGTACACACAATTATACACAGCTCATCATTACTGATGAGGATAAAAGCAACTATGTTACTATTTGCATAGCATAGCACTTTTAAAAAAAGATTTATTTTATTTATTTGAAAGACAGAGTTACAGAGAGAGGTAGAGACAGAGAGAGAGGTTTTCCATCCGATGGTTCACTTCCCAGATGGCCACAACGGCCGGAGCTGCGCCAATCTGAAGCCAGGAGCCAGGAGCCTCTTCTGGGTCTCCCACATGGGTACAGGAGCCCAAGCACTTGGGCCATCCTCCACTGCTTTCCCAGGCCACAGCGGAGAGCCGGACTGTAAGAGGAGCAGCCGGGACTAGAACTGGTGCCCATATGGGATGCCAGTGCCTCAGGTCAGGGCTTTAACCCTCTGTGCCGCAACGCCGGCCCCTAGCATAGCACTTTTATAATTATTTTAGTGTTTATTCCTTCTAAAAAAATTATTGTGAAACAGAGTGTCTTGGGACCAATGCTGTGGTATAGTGGGTTAAGATGCCGGCTACAGTGCTGGCATCCTATATGGGCGCCAGTTTGTGTCTCAGCTGTTCCACTTCCCATCCGGCTCCCTGCTAATGTGCCTGGGAAAGCAGTGGAGGATGTCCCAAGTGCTTGGACCCCTCACCCACGTGGGAGACCCAGAAGAACTCCTGGTTCCTGGCTTTGGCCTGACCCAGCCCTGGTAATTGCAACCATTAGGGCAGTGAACCAGCAAGTGAAAGATCTCTCTCCTCTCTCTCTCTGTCTCTCCCTCCCTCACTGTTACTTTTTCAAATAAATAAATAAATATTAAAAAAAACCAGAATGTCCTGTTATGCCATCAGCAGCCTCACATTTCTATGTTTGCCATATCACTTGATTATATTAACAGTTTAGTAAAGTGACTGACCTTTACCAGCTGAGTTTGAGTAAATACACCGTATGATGTTCACACAATGCCGAAATAATCTAAGGATACAATTGTTTGAATGGCACATGCCCATCATTGAGCAATGCATGCCTATACTTCACTGGACTGTTACGAGTACTAAAGATAACACATCAAAAGCGACTAGCATTAGGGGGATTGTTAAGAGATTTTCAACAAATATCAGTTCTCTAGCTCATCTTGCCACTAACTCCCAGACGTGCATTACCACAGACTCTCACTTACCAGCCTGTTAAGAATAATCACCTGTCAGCCAATGGAAACACGAGACTGGATTGGTGCAATCAGAGGGTGACTATGGCTGGGTAACAATGTTGGCCAAGAAGACATTTCTGCAGCTCCTCCTGTCCTGCCATAAATCAGGCTCACTTTACTCAGAATTGCTGGTTGTGTTCAATTGTACACCATAAAGTGTACACTTCAGATTCCACAGTTTTATAGATTCATTCACCCATCCATTCATGTTTACAGAAATCAGGATTCAGCTGTCATGTCAAGAAAGCCCATACTTCACTACTACAATGCCCGGGGCAGAATGGAGTCCATTCGGTGGCTCTTGGCTACAGTTGGAGTAGAGGTAAGTCCTCAGTTAGGTCATCTAAAATTGTACCAATGCCATCTCACTGTTCCAGGTGATCAGTTTCAGTTCACAGTTGGTCATGGTGAAGGGACTGGGAGTCAAAGGGAGCACATAGACAAGTCTAGTACCTGCTAACGCTAACTGATGGAGTAAATAAAGGGGAGAGTGATCCAACATGGGAAATGAGATACTCAGCAGACTCATAGAATGGCAGATGTCCTCAATAGCACTCTGGCCTCAGAATCAGCCCTAAAGGCATTCGGAGCTGGCTGAAAAGCTCATGAGAGTATTTCAGGCATGGAAAGCCAAGACACTCTGGCAAAAGATCTCTGCGAGTGAGATCCCAGTGGAAAGAACAGGTCATCAAAGAAGGAGGTACCTTTCTCTGAAGGGAGGAGAGAACCTCCACTTTGACTATGACCTTGTCTAAACAAGATAAGAGTCGGAGAACTCAGAGGGCTTCCATAGCCTTGGAAACTCATGACTGGAGCATAGGGAGATTACTGATGCCATAGACAGGAGTGTCAATTGGTAAAGTCAACAACAGGAGTCACTGTGCACTTACTCCTCATGTAGGATCTCTGTCCTTAATGTGCTGTACATTGAGATTTAATGCTATAACGAGTACTCAAACAATATATTTCACTTTGTGTTTCTATGGGGGTGCAAACTGTTGAAATCCTTACTTAATGCATACTAAACTGATCCTCTGTAAAAAAAAAAAAAAAAAGAAAAGAAATTATCAATTCCCAACTTGACTCGCACTGGGATTAAACATGACAATAGGTCTGATCTGATTTCATCATCATTTAAAAAAAATCATCTATTATTTTTCACTTTGTGTTTCTGTGTGGGAGCAAACTGTTGAAATCCATACTTAATGTATACTAAGCTGATCTTCTGTATATTAAGATAATCGAAAATGAATCTTGATGTGAATGGAAGGGGAGAGGGAGTGGGAAAGGGGAGGGTTGTGGGTGGGAGGGACTGTATGGGGGGGAAGCCATTGTAATCCATAAGTCGTACTTTGGAAAATTATATGCATTAAATAAAAGTTTAAAAAAAAAATAAAGTTGGATCTGAAATTGACAGTATTAGGAACTGGTGTTGTGGTACAGTGGGATAAGTCACTCCTTCAAATGCTGGCATCCCATATTGGAGTGCTGGTTGGAGTCCTGGCTACTCCTCTTCTGATCCAGATTCCTGCCAATACACCTGGGAAGGAAGCAAAGGATGGCCCACATGCTTGGGCCCCTGCCAGCCACTTGGGAGACCAGGATAGATTTCCTGGCTGCTGTCTTCAGCCTGCCACAGACTTGGATGTTGCAATCTTTGGGGGATGGAAGGTCTCCCTCTCTCTCTGTTCCTCTACCTTTGAAATAAGTAAATCTTTTTCAAAATAAATAAAATAAAATTGACCGTATTTCTTACTGAGTGACTGTAAGGAGTGGTGCCTTAAATAAAAATTGCTTAACCAATTTGACCTAATAATTCCTTAATATTTCATCTCCTGAGACAGCATAAACAGAAAGATAAATTGAAGAAGCTAATCACAATATATGGCCCATATGTGGATTTAGATTTAAACAAACTATTAAAGAATAATTAGACAACTATAAACATAAACACTGATCGAATATTTGAGGATATTAAAGAAATACTCTAATAATATACATATAATGATAAATTGTGGTTATTTTTAAAATAGTTTTATGTTTTAGAGAGACACACAGAATATTTAAAGATGAAATATATGATATTTACATTTCCTTCAATTATTGAGAAAGACAGAGAGCAAGTGGACAGATAGATGGAAAGCCATTGTCTTGAGATGATAATTGTTGAAGTTGGGTGAGGCATAGAAGGAGCAACATTACACTCTACTATTTGTATAAGTTAGAAATGTCCATAATAAAAGAATTATAATGTACAATTAGAAAATTAATATACTTAAAGAGAAAATATAGTCTACAAAGAGAGGCAGAAAGGAGTGAACAAACTGTTTGTTAGCAACTAAATACCTTCATTCAGCAATTATTTTGCTGAGCAGGTATTGGGTGCTAAGTTCTTTGCTGGATCCTGGGGATATTTAATGAACAAGACAGACAAGGGCCCTGACAGTGAGCAGCCTACATATCTAGGAGCTAGTTAAAAGGACAGATAGGACCAAGTATTTTACAGGGAGAAAGAGTTATTTTTCCTGGCACTTGAACAAGTAATGTTAGCAGGGTTCCCCCTGGCACTATTGAGTGCTGACCTCTAGGGGTGTCAATGAGAAAAACACTTCCCAGTCCAGACCAGAAGCACCCAGCAACTAGGTGAGGATTTTCCTGAGCTGCTAGTCATGGATAATCTTAGGTCTTTCAGGTGAGATCATAAAAAGAGGGTTTCATATAGATGGTGTCCTGTGAAGGAAATGCCTAAGGTGTTCCATTCCACCTCACACGAAAGCATTTACCTAAGTCTGGGTTTAACCTTTTTCAATTGCTTCATGATGTCTGTGGCTTTAGCCTGCTAATTTCTCAGTTTTATGAAGAAACGATCACACACACACACACACACACACATATACACAAAACAATCCAACTACTCCAGTGCCATTCTAGATGGTTTTCTTTCTACAACTGCATAATTCCGTTTCACTTTCATCCCAACTTCAGCATCCTGGTCCAGGTATGAGTTCAGTGCAGGAAGGAGAGGTAAGGGAGATGCTCACAGCCCTATGCTCCTGAATTTCCACCTTGCCTGAGGGAAGTGGGTTGTGGTCAAGGGCTGACCACACCCCCTGCTCAGAGTCTGTGGATTCTCTGGCCCCAAGGTTGATCACTACCATCCCATCCATCACCATCAGTCTCATAGGCAACACTAGACTCACCAACCCCATCTCACTTTGGCCACCCTCTTGCACTGGCCATCCACCACCCCTATGTTTTTACTGAACTGGATGTTTTGAAATTGCTGGGCACACAGCAGCTTCCTGTCTCTGCAGCCTGATTGGTGTGCTCATGTAGATTTACAATAAATTCTTTCCCATAGAGCAAGGTAGAAACTTAAATTTCCTGAGCTTCTCAACATGAAGTACTGCATTAATAATACCCACTGGAATTAGTAATACCCACTGGAAACATCATTATTATTTATGATTTGGTTTATGTGGGTACCTCTTTGTACTATGTATCTTTTTTTAAGATTTATTTATTTATTTGAAAGGCAGAGTTACAGAAAGTGAGAAGGAGAGACAGAGAGAGGTCCTCCATCCACTGGTTTACTTCCCAAATGGCCACAACAGCCAGGACTGGGCCAGGCCGAAGCCGGAAGCCAGGAAGTTTTTCAGGGTCTCCCACATGGGCACGGGGGCCCAAGCACTTGGCTCATCTTGCACTGCTTTCCCAGGCAAATTAGTGGAGAGCTGGGTCAGAAGCGAAGCAGCCAGGACTCATACTAGTTCCCATATAGGATGCTGGCACTGCAGACTGGGGCTTTAACACGATGAGCCACAGTGCTGGCCCCTGAACTATGTGTCTTGTAAACACTACAATCTTCTTTTTCAGCAGTGGTATACCCTTGTACAAATATGGAAATTACAACAGAGATCCCATGGTGAAAGAAACTTAGATTGCCACTGGTCATGAAGTGTCCATTGCTGCGGACACAGCAGTTGCTCTGATCTCATGAGACATTCAGTCTTTCCTGAGCTACTGGAAGGTCATAACTAGAAGAACTTATGAGTTCAGTTCTTCTATTTACCAGCTTACTATAACTCATCAGTCCTGTCCCTCCAATGGCATCATCTCTCAAATCCTGACCTAACCATGCAGTTGGTCTGGCCAAGGTCCAGGTGAATTGACCCATGCCCCTTTCTTGGCAGACCTAAATTGAATTTCCAAATAATCATGACCAGACTCCTCTCTGCACCTGCCAAACTCAGAAATCTTGTCTCCTCCATATTATGCACCAGACAGGGACCATTGAAGCTTAATCTGTAATGCAAAGGAACTAATAAGAACTCAGATTGTTTCTGCTTCCAGTTTGAAGAGAAATTTGTCAAAACTCGTGCAGAACTGGACAAATTAAGAAATGGTAAGGACAAATTTTTAAGTTCTTCTTATGAAGGTTCCTTGTAGAAAGTTAAACAAAGGAAATTCTTGTTTTTCAGGATGATCTTCGAAATGTTAGAGATAGAAAGAGCGGTTAAAAATATTAGGGGTGGGGCTCACTGAGCAGGACTGATTATTTTCTCTAAGCTAAAATGGACCTCTTGGAGTATCTGCTAAAGGAACCATGCCCAGTGTCCTGTGAATGTCCTCTCCTTGGTTTCTCATGCTTTCTTCACCTGAATGAGATGCAGCCTGCTTAGGATCTCACATGGCCTCACCCATGCCAGGACATTCATTAGATGAAAGGATGAGAAACAGCTCTAGCAGTTATCTTTGGTTCCTTTCTTTCACTGGTTGAGATAAAATGATATTCTAGCAATACTGTAGGCTTAGTAACAAGACAGCACTGAATTCTTTGTTGTTTCAGGTGAGAGAATGAAAAGGAGAGAAAGAGCAAAGGGCCAGAAGTCATGGGGTCAAAGACACAGGCCCACCTTTCACACACAGTCCAGTGGTGTTATTTGAAGAACACACAGAGGGCCCCAAGTAGAAATTATTTCTCTCAGAGATATCCTTGAGGTCATAACACCAAAGTATCAGGTGGCTTCCCCATTACAGCCTCTCTAAACTCCCTTTAAAATCTGCATGAAATAAATCACACGCAAAATATGCAGAGACCTACAAAATGTATCTAGGTGGGAAATAAAAACATCAATGAAATAACAATATAAAATTAAAAGGAGGATTGGATTGATAAGAAGAAAAAGGATTATGGAATGCCAAAAGCAAAATGTTATTTTACTTGAAAGATTACGAAGTTAGAATTTTAGCTTCATTTTAAACCTTCCATAAATTCAACAAAAAAAAAAAATCATGTTCAAAGAGTGGGATCCATAGAGATTTCACTCTTTCCTTTTCTTCTTTTCAAAGATGGAATATTGATGTTCCAGCAAGTGCCCATGGTTGAGATTGATGGGATGAAGCTGGTGCAGTCCAGAGCCATTCTCAACTACATTGCCAGCAAACATGACCTCTATGGAAAAGACATAAAAGAGAGAGCCCTGTATGGTATACTTTCTGTTCTTACAATAGCAGTTAGCACAGGAATGCTGTGGATCCTAACTTGTGTGAACAGGACCATGGCGGTGGGTTCAAGATCAGCCACAGGCTGGGCTTTGGGCAAGCACTGAGAGTCCATTATATCAGACACCTAGGGAGATGAAGGAAGAGTATTTTGGGGGTAGATTCAGGTAACTATGGCCATAGAAGACCACATAGTTCATGCATGTAGATCAGTGACAGAAGTTTCCAATCCCATGAAGTCAGCATGGTGGGGAACCATGATTCCAAATATTCACATTTTAGAGGCTGGATGGGAACCAACAACTCAAGATAAGGGACAAGGGTTTGTGTATCTGGAGCTGAAGTCCAGGAAGGGCATGATCCTAAGGAGCTGAGTCTCAATTTCCAGAAACTGTAAGAATGACAACCAGGAATCTATGATACGAGCCTATTGTTTGGACTGGTGTTTGGAAAAGGGTTAGTAGATCCTGGTGCCCATGATACTGGGGTTACTTAAAGCACTTTACACAGGACGTAAGGAGTCAAACTGAGTCAGTACAACCAAAGCTGGTGGTCTCCTCCCCGTTGCACTGGAGCTGCTTGACTGAAAATCAAATATTGTATGCAACCATTCAGAATTCCTCAGAACATTAAATATGCTTATAGAGTTACTAGTGACTCAGCGATCCAGGTACTGGGTATGGAAACAAGAAAAATGAAAATATAACCTCACTAATGTTGTTTAGAAATGTTTACAGCATCATGATTGGTCACATTCAAAAACTAGAAGTAAATTAAGTCTCCATCAAAGCATAAAGAGGTGAACTAAATGTGCTAAGAGGGTATGTCTAAAAATTGAGGAAAAATAGTATGAAAAAATTATTAGTTTATGATGCTGGGGAAAAATCTTTGAAATACATCCAAACTTTTGTCATAATACTTATTTTTATGAATTTTTATAGACCCCCCCAGCTATGAGTTATTTCTATGAATTACCCAGAACATTGCTTTTCATAGACACAGAAGGTAGGTTAGTGGTTTCTAGGGCCTGGGAGGTGGAGGTGGTTGGGAACTCGTTGCTTACATACAGATTTTATTTTCCCTCTCTGGATGATAAAAATCATCTGAAGTTAGTATTGATATTTGCAGCATTCATGATACTTAAATCCACTGAATGGTATTCATTAATAGAGTGACAACTATGGTATGTGAATGTATGTTTGTAAAAGTGCTATTTTTAAAACTTTTAGGAAGCTTAGTTTGAAACAAAAGATAAAAAGTATTCCATCCTATGCACTGGTTGTAACTGTATACAGAAGTACACACATAGGGGAAACCTGGAAACCCAAGAAATGCAAGCACTATGAGATGTGGGCAATAGTACATAGAGAGAAGACTATGGGACCATATCTTATGGTAAATAATTGAAAGCATTTTCTAATATTGGCATAAAAATGAGCCTGATGTGTGTAATGGATGAGAGAGGGAGAGGGACATGTGTAAGGTGGCCATACCAGGGACTCTCTCCTGAGATGACATAGGCAGCAGGTCATCAGCCATAGAAACCATGCTATATTTGCACACAGAACACAGCTCAGTAGAGATGAAAACCCTGTTTGTCACATCAGAGATCACACTCAGGGATCCACCCATATTATCCCATGACTAACTCCGGACAGGTCACTGATGCTCTTTGTGTAGTTGGTCATGTAGTTGGTCTGTAGTTGGTCATGAGTCTACCAAAATTGCTAGACATATCTGCACCTCTTAGATTGTTCTCAGAAATAAGTGTCTATACCAAAATAAAAATAGTATGATCAAAGGCCCCGATTGGAGGTGAATAATTTTGCCTCCCAGGATGCTCTAATGTCTTATATTTTCAAACTATAAACTCTAAAGCAGAAGGCATTTCACAGTTTGGCTGTTTTTGTCTCTCAGCATCGATATGTATACGGAAGGAATGGCAGATTTGGGTGAATTGGTTCTTCATCACCCATACCTTCCACTTGGGGAACAGCAGGCAAGCCTTGCTCAGATCAAAGATAAAGCAAGAAACCGCTATTTTCCTGCCTTTGAAAAGGTAAGAGGAAGCTGATTCACCTGTAAGGGCGTGAAGAGTTCAGAAAGCTCACTGTCCCAAAAGGGAACCATAGCAGGTTACACTGTTATAACAAAAATACCATAGACTCAGCACTTCAAAAGCAGACATTTATCACAGTCTTGGGGCTTAGAAAGTACAGGTCAAGGAAGGCACTGGCAGATTCAGTATCCGGAGAGGTGTGCTTCTTGGCTCCTGGATGGTCGATTTCTCACTCCGTCTCACATGGTGGACAGGCTAAGGGGAGTTATCTGGGGCTAGTGCCATTCACAAGAGCTCTGCCCTCAGGACTAATTACTCTTGAAGGCAATAAAAACCAGTAACAGTACATTATGGCTACAATTTCCAAATACCAGTTTTGAGGGACACAAACAGAAGGTAACAGTGCATGGGTCTTCATGGAGCATTGAATTTTACTCCCACAGGGTCTTCCTTAAGATAAATTGAGCACCCTGACACTCAAGGCATTGTGTAAAAATGTAATGTCAAGGAGAATTATACTAGCTAAATCAGAGAACTTTTGCCAAAAAACTTACCAGGATCCAATCTGTAAAATTCTGGATTCGAAAGGATGTCATAGTCTTAATTAGAACTGTGGATGTCTTAATTAGGCCGTGGATGGCTGTGCAACTCCCTAGAGGTTGGACTAGATCCTGTAGACACCATAACCTTCTAAATCAAGTACAGCATGATGAATGCATACATCACAAAGTACCTTGGCACCATGTAGGGGAGACACGAGGCCATCTGCCCAACAGGAAGATCTGGTAGTCTTCCAGGAATGGAGGGTGTGTACACAAGCAGAGCTTGTGGCAAAGGGATGCAGAGGAAGAGATAGATGAAAAGACATTCAAAAATAATCTAGGGAATTTGGGAACAATGGTGTCAGACTTCAGAGAGCTTGGGCTTTAACTGAGGGATAAGCAGAGCCCACTTCTAGCTCTCTCTCTCTCTCTCTCTCCCTCTCTCTCTCTCCCATGAGACAGGGGCTTTGAAGAAAGACCCCAGCCAGGCAGCAGAGCTGGGAGAGTCGGGCTTGAGAGGCTCAGGGAGGAGCAGGGCCCCAGCCTGCCTGTGCCTGTGACCATGATCTGATTCTCACCAGGTGTTGAAGAGCCACAGACAAGACTACCTTGTTGGCAACAGGCTGAGCAAGGCTGACATTCTCCTGGTTGAACTTATCTACTACATGGAAGAGCTTGATCCTGGTTTTATCACCAGCTTCCCTCTGCTGCAGGTGATCTGCCTCATGGCCCTCAGAAATCTCCCTATTTGGCATCTAATTTTTGGATCCTAGGGCTGGTGATCTTCTGACTCCCAACCTTCTACAGACCTCACATCCTCACCCCTCTCCCCAAATCTCCAAAATGAGCTTGTAGGCCCTTTGTACCATCATCTCTGTTTCTGATTTTTCGGTGATGTCTTTTATCTTTGCACATGGAGTCCTTCTGAGTAAGTCTCGTTCCCACGTGGTTTCCTGTTCTCAGCTCCACCTCCAACTGTCAGACCTGGTGTTCCTCTCTGCACTGCTCTCCACCCTCTCCTCCCACATCCCCCCACATCTTCTCTCAGTATGGAAATTGGTTGTAATTGGCCCTGGTTAGCCTTTACTATTCTGTGTCTTTAGACGTCTTTGTGTCTGTATCTAACAGACACATTGTTCTTCCTTATACTTTGCAAGAGCCATGGATCTACAAGATTCATGCGTAAGGAAGAAGAGGCAGTTCTGTTGACTGGATAAAGTCTTACAGACGTCTTTAGGGAAAATGCTCTTGAGTACTATTTTCTTCCTCTCGTCTGCATGCTCCCTGGGATCTGTCTCCCAACCTCTACACTGGTGTTGACGGAGGGGACTCAGTTGGTCTTTGTCTGGAAGGGTCTCAGATATCCTGGGTTATGATACTGATATGATGCCGTTTGACTCCTTGGGGCTGTGATTTGTGCACTGCAGGCCCTGCAAACCAGGATCAGCAGCCTCCCCACCGTGAAGAAGTTTCTGCAGCCTGGCAGCCAGCGAAAGCCTCCTGTGGATGAGAAATGTGTAAAAAAAGCAGAGGAGATTTTCGGCTAAATAAAGCAGGCATGGGTGCCAAGAACATGCAAGACCAATCTCCTAAAGTAATGCAACAATGAAGCTCTGGAAGCAATTGCTGGTTCTCCCCTGTGAGGCTAATAAAATTTCTCAAGTCTGTGTGCTATGTGCCAATTTAATTAGAAACCAACTCTGCAAATGTAGTTTGCAATGTGCTCTATTTGTTATTGAACAAGTACAAAATTATGCTCACCTGCTAGGATTTCTCTCCAGATTTAAATAACAGGAGAAAATAAATTCTCATGTATTTTGAAATGCCATATAACAGCTCTTAAATACCTTGAGTAGAAATTTTTATTTGTCACTCCTGCTTACATGAAAACAGTCTTTTTCTCTTGTGTTTTCCTATCATTCTGACCAGCAACATAAAACTTTGTTTCAATAGCCATTTTCCTGGAGCAGGCATTTGGTGGAGCTGTTAACACATGGATTGGGATGTCTGCATTCCATATCGGAGTGCCTGGTTCAAGTCCCACCTATACCACTTCTAATCCACCTTCCTGCTGATGTGCACCCAGTGAGGCACCAGGTGATGTCTCAAGTGCTTGGGCCCTGGCTACCCATGTAGGAGACCTGGAAGAAGCTCCTGGCTTTGGCCTGGTCCATCCCTGGCCATTGTGGCCATTTAGGAAGTGAACCAGTGGATGGAAGCTCTCTCTCTCTCTCTCTAAATCAAACTTTCAAATAATAAATAAATAAACCTTTAAAAAATAGTAGACTTGCAAGATCACCTGGACCGAGGAGTACAAAGGCTGAGTGGAGACAGCCAAGAATCTCAGAGAAAAGGAACAATGAAGAAGGAACGTGAGCATCATGACGCTAACAGATGAGCATGAGGCCTGAAGGGTGAACAATGGACTGGGCAACAGGAGGCCACTGTGGGCTGATGAGTGCAGCTGCAGTGAAGCAGGGGGAGCAGAAGCTGTACCAGAGTGAAGAAGCAGAGACAGCAGCTTGAAGGGCTCAGGAATTTTGCTCCAAAATGGGCAGATCTATGGGGCAGCAGACTCCATCTGAGATCCAGAAAAGGAAGAGATAGTTAAGGAGATTGGGCCTGGTTTCACTGGCAATTGTGCAAAGTCCCCTAAAGAGGCTGAGGCTGTATGCTAAGGCACTGCACTTGTTCCTGCCACCAGCAGTGAAATTGCCCTGGAACACTCGCCACCTGGTGGTCAGTCCCGGAGTCACAGTCACACTCCTCAGAGTAGGCCGAGTTGTTCCCCCATCAGAACCATGACTTTTTCTCATCGGTTGTGGGTAAATTGCAGGAAGGCAGCTGAAGGAAAGCCAAGATGGAATGTTCTCCAGCCTCCCCTAACACCTTCCAGGCTATTCCACTGCCTCTGATTTCTGCCTAGTCCTCTTTACCTTCACTCATTGCCCTCTGTGTTAGCTTTCCAGTGTCCATTTCTGTAATCAGAAGGCAATGAGGCAGCTGCAAAGATGCAGGCAGTCATCTTCCGGGACAGAGTTGTGGAGCAGCCTCCCTCAGAGCCTCCAAAGTGAACTAACATTGCTGACCCCTGGATATTCAACCTCCAGCCTCCAGCCTGTGTGAGAACACACTTCTGTTGTCTAAGCCATCTAGTTTGGGCAATTCGTTACATTGATCCCAGGAAACATACACAACTCCTTAGCAATAAAAGGAATGAATATCTTCCCAATTTCTATGAATCTCAAAAAGATAATGCTGAGTGACAGAAATCCTACATAACAAAGAACACCGTCTATATGCTTCTACCTCTATAAAATCCTAGAAAACGCAAACTACCCTATTGTGACAAAAAGCAGATCAGTGGTATGGAGGTGGGAATTCCAAAAAGACATGAGGATATGAATACATTCACTGTCTTGATTGTAGAGATAGTTTGTTAAGTATATGCACATGTCACAACATAATCCTATTGTACACTTAAATTATGTGCACTTTATTATTATATGTCAATTATACCTCCATATATGGTAAAAAATTAATAGGAGCAAATAGAAAACCATAATTCTGTCATAAAGATAGTCATTTGTAGAACTTCTCTGGTCTCCATCCCACTTGGCTGCCTCTTGTTCCTCTGACAAGTTTCTGTATAGGCTCATGAATCTAGCCCTCTTAGCCACCTACATCTCCACTCATCAAGACAAACTTGAGGGACCAGCACTGCAGCATAGTAGGTTAATCATCTGTTTGCAGTGCCAGCATCCCATATGGGCACTGGTTCACGTCCTGGCTGCTTCACTTCTGATCCAGCTCCCTGCTGATGGCCTGGGAAAGCAGTGGAAGATGGCCCAAGTCCTTGGGGCCCTGCACCCACATAGGAGACCTGGAAGAAGCTCCTGACTCTTGGCCTCAGATAGGCCTAGCCATGGCCATCACAGCCATTTGGCGAGTGAATCAGTTATAGAAGATCTCTCTCTCTCTCTCTCTCTCTCTGTTGCTCCCTTTCTCTGTCTGTTAACTCTGCCTCTCAAATAAATACATCTTTTTAGATTTTTTTTTAAAAAGACAAACTAGAAAACATTCCAGAACAAATCAACACATCTTTCCTCATATCTGACTCATTTTCTTTTTTGCTATTTCCTTCTCCATTTCCTTCCACTTCCAAAACTCCAGTCATCTACACTCTATCTTTACTTCCTCTCTCCAGAGTCTTGAACTTTCGTTTATTTATCAATGAACCAACTGTCATGTTACTCTGTTAGTTCACAGTTCTTTTCTTGTCTGACTCCTTGGGTCTCTTTCCTGCAAAGCTACATTAGTTCTATCAGTCCAACGTCCTTTTATCAATCTATCTGCTTTGACCTCTTAACTGCAAATCCCACTTCCTTTTCTATCAGCAATGTTCTAGCAGAAGCCCTCACCCTACACAAAACACCAGTGTCCATGTTTTCCCATGGCCCACTCTTTCTTAGTTTAATGACTTACATTCCTTCCTTGTCCTTATGCCATCCCATCCAATCCTGTGTGTTCCAAAGGGCAGTGTTTTCACAAAATATGTAAGTTGTCAGAGCACAGCCTTTTGAAGAATGCTGTGAAAAGCTCCCAGAGTCTGACACTGAGCGGCAAGTGTAGCACTTGGCAGAATAACTTGCATGGACCTCAGGAATAGCAACGATGCACTTCTGCATCACCACTCTCCTTCCCCTCTCACGGCGAAATGCGCTCCCTACCACTCTGCCAGTCTGTGTCAGTGTCTCCTCCACTGTGACACCTTACTGAGTAGCTCAACAAACACTGGACATTCAGGAAGAGGCCCCTTGACATAAAGCGATCCTTTCTGTTCTGTTCCTGTGTTCTCAGGTGATAGTGTTGTCAAACTAACCCGGGGTAAGATGTGGAGAGAGAGGGAGTGTAGTCCATGAACTGTGGGAAGGTGGGATTGGGCTTTGTGGGTGACAGCCAGGCCCCACACATCTGAGATGTGGATGCACTGAAAGTGATGAAAATCCTGTAATTGCACCATCCTGGCCCGATGGTTCTACCTCAACATCCATCCATCCTTTCCTCTAGAGTCGCCCTAAGCGTTAATTGTCCCAGTACTGTTATGAGGAGACAAACAAGGAAAACTCAAGCATCATAGCTTGACAGTCATCTCAACCTCAATACATCTGTGTGTGCCTCTGTTTTACACATGGATGCCATGGAATATAGAGAGGCTGAGATGTGTCTGGGGTCACATAGCTGATCAGTGGTAAAAGCAGCCTAGCCCAGGCCTCCTCAAGGATAGGCCAAAGCATTTTCCCTTTTTCCAAAGGGAAATCTTTTATCCATTGATTCAGGAACTTCTTTTTTGGAAACCTGGTTCTTGTGTTAAGTTATCCTCTTGCAATGAGACTGAAGCATCAGTCTTTCCAAATCAGTACAGAACACGCCAAGACAGCATTTTTATTATTTTCTATTCATTGCATTTTATTTATTTGAAAGGCAGACACAGAGAGATCTCCTATCTGTTGGTTCACTTCCCAAATGCCTGCAATGGCCCAGGTTGAACCAAGCTGAAAGCAGGAGCCAGGAACTGAATCTGGGTCTTCCACATAAGTTTTAGGGATCCAACTATTTGAGCCACCACCTGCTGCCTCCCAGGGTGTGCATTAGCAAAAAGCTGTATTAGGGATAGAACTAGGCACTCCACCATGGGATATGCGAATCCCAACCAGCATCTTAACCACCACACCAGATGCCCACCCCTTAGGACAGGATCTTTATGAAAACAAAGCAAATCTCACTTTATATCACAAATAGGACATAAAGGTTTTCTATAAGCCAGAAGAATAGGTATTCAAGATTTAAGAACACATGAAAATGTACTGTGTGCTAGATTCCTGGGTTGATTTTTTTCATAGAGGGGAAAATATTTATTCTGTCTCTGAAATTGCCTAAGAATCCATGTTACTAGAGCCCAGTTTCAGTAGACAAAACAGAATGGAGGTGGAATGCCAAGATGATTGGAGATAAAATTCCAGACTCCAAGTCTGAGGATAAAATAATTTACAAAGGCATGCAATTACTGCCCACTTAATTCCTTTTATTCTTACATACCTTTTAAGAAGTGGATTATTTCTTTTGATTTCTTTTTTACTTTACAGTCACCCTTCAAAACAGCAATTATTCTAAGATGTATTTCCTGTATGTCTAGCATATAAGTCATGGATACTGAAAATACTCCTAATTATTTCTATGTTGATAACAAAGTGACAGCTCTACTGAGAGCCAAAATTACAATTCAGTTTCAAATGAATTGACTCTGTTATACTCATCAAATCCTCTTGTTCCTGTCTCATCTCAAATTAGTAATATGTAAATAATAAAATGCACAAATAACAATATGGACAAATACTAATATGCAGTGGATATTTACCATATATAAGAATCAGAATACATATTTGCTTTTAGGAAATATTAAAATATCGCTGGTCTTGATTTTCAGAATAAATTCTATCTAGAACATCTTTCTGAGTTTCTAGACTTTGGGATCCACCAGTGTCTCAGAAATTACGTGAGGCCGGCGCCGCGGCTCACTAGGCTATTCCTCCACCCAGCGGCGCCGGTACACCGGGTTCTAGTCCCGGTCGGGGCGCTGGATTCTTTCCCGGTTGCCCCTCTTCCAGGCCATCTCTCTGCTGTGGCCCGGGAAGGCAGTGGAGGATGGCCCAAGTGCTTGGGCCCTGCACCCCATGGGAGACCAGGAGAAGCACCTGGCTCCTGCCTTCGGATCAGCGCGGTGCGCCAGCCACAGCACACCAGACGTGGCGGCCGTTGGAGGGTGAACCAACGGCAAAGGAAGACCTTTCTCTCTGTCTCTCTCTCTCACTATCCACTCTGCCTGTCAAAAAAAAAAAAAAAAAAGGAAGAAGAAGAAAGAAAAAAAAAAGAAATTACGTGAAGCACAGGTTTTGAATGCAAAACAAAATAATTTTCCTCAATGTCCTATGAAATAGATGCATTTGTTGTATGATTTAGTTTCTTATAGTAATTAATTTTTTCTGATAATTAAAAATTGATTCTAGGGACTTGCATCGTGATGAAGAGAGTTAATCCACCACCTCCAACTCTGGCATCCCCTATCAGAGCACCTGTTTGAGTTCCTGCTTCTCTGCTTCTGATCCAGTTCCCTGCTAATGCACTGGGAAAGAAGCAGCTGGCAGCCCACTAGCTTTGGCCCCTGCAACCCACACTGGAGATTCAGACTGAGTTTCTGGCTTCTGGCTTTGGCCTGGCTCATTACTGACTATTGCGACTATTGGAGAGTGAACAACTGGATGGAAGATCTCTCTCTTTCCCTCTCTGTGTGTGTTTGTGTGTGTGCATGTATGTGTGTGTGTGTGCGTGTAACTCTGCCCTTTGAATAAATTTAAACTTTTTTTTAAAAGTTGATTCTAAGCAACTCTGACAGGGAACTTCTTTTTTGTTTGTTTGTTTTTTGTTTTGTTTTGTTTTGACAGGCAGAGTGGACAGTGAGAGAGAGAGAAAGACAGAGAGAAAGGTCTTCCTTTGCCGTTGGTTCACCCTCCAATGGCTGCCACGGCCGGCGCACCGTGCTGATCCGAAGGCAGGAGCCAGGTGCTTCTCCTGGTCTCCCATGGGGTGCAGGGCCCAAGCACTTGGGCCATCCTCCACTGCACTCCCGGGCCACAGCAGAGAGCTGGCCTGGAAGAGGGGCAACCGGGACAGAATCTGGCGCCCTGACCGGGACTAGAACCCGGTGTGCCGCGCCGCTGGGTGGAGGAATAGCCTAGTGAGCCGCGGCGCCAGCCAACAGGGAACTTCTTATAATATGTGGAGGTAAGATGAATCAGTTTACAAATCCAAGTGCACAAGAATCTTTTTAAATTTCTAAACTGAGTTCAATTTTTATTCTGAGGCCCAATCCAGAGGGACACAAACCATATCTGACAATACCAGCCTTCCTCCAATACACATCTCCATATATTTTTGAGGGTTGCATCTAAGTTCCTTAAGTTTATGGAGCCCGAAAACACCCAGGAGAGTAGCATCTTTTTGCACCAGACACCTGCCCACACTGGATACTACGAAAGACACCCTCATTCCCATCTAATCTCCAGGTGACAGTCTTTGCAGGTGACTGCTTCATCCCCTTCATTAACGCCACAGGTCTTTCAAACATGGAACTGTAGATTGGGAGAATGGATAGCGTTCTGGGGGTGTCTCAAACCACTGGCCTAGGCACTGTACCCAGCCTTTTTTTTAACTTTTATTTAATGAATATAAATTTCCAAAGTACAGCTTATGGATTACAATGGCTTCCCCCCATAACTTCCCTCCCATCCGCAACCCTCCCCTTTCTCACTCCTTCTTCCCTTTCACTCACATCGAGATTCATTTTCATTTCTCTTATATACAGAAGATCAGTTTAGTATATATTAAGTAAAGATTTCAACAGTTTGCACCCACATAGAAACACAAAGTGAAAAATAATGTTTGAGTACTAGTTATAGCATTAAATCACAATGTATAGCACATTAAGGACCAAGATCCTACATGAGGAGTAATCGCACAGTGACTCCTGTTGTTGACTTTACAAATTGACATTCTTGTTTATGGCATCAGTAATCTCCCTAGGCTCCAGTCATGAGTTGCCAAAGCTATGGAAGCCTTTTCAGTTCACCGACTCTTATCATATTTAGACAAGGTCATAGTCAAAGTGGAAGTTCTCTCCTCCCTTCAGAGAAAGGTACCTCCTTCTTTGAAGACCTGTTCTTTCCACTGGGATCTCACTCACAGAGATCTTTCATTTCATTTAGGTCATTTTTTTTTTTTTTTTTTTTTTTTGCCAGAGTGTCTTGGCTTTCCATGCCTGAAATACTCTCATGGGCTTTTCAGCCAGATCCGAATGCCTTTAGGGCTGATTCTGAGGCCAGAGTGCTGTTTAGGACATCCACCATTCTGTGAGTCTGCTGTGTATCTCACTTCCCATGTTGGATCATTCTCTCCCTTTTTTATTCTATCGGTATTAGCAGACACTAGTCTTGTTTATGTGATCCGTTTGACTCTTAGTCCTTTCATTATGATCAATTGTGAACTGAAATTGATCACTTGGACTAGTGAGATGGCATTGGCACATGCCACCTTGATGGGATTGAATTGGAATCCCCTGGTATGTTTCTAACTCTGCCGTTTGGGGCAATTCAGCTTGAGCATGTCCCAAATTGTACATCCCTTCCCTCTCTTATTCCCACTCTTATATTTAACAGCGATCACTTTCCAGTTAGGTTTCAGCACTTAAGAAAAATTGTGTATTGATTACAGTATTCAACCAAAAGTATTAAGTAGAACAGACAAAAAAAAAATACTAAAAGGGACAATGTATTAAGTTGTTCATTAACAGTCAGGGCTATGCTGATCAAGTCACCGTTTCTCATAGTGTCCATTTCATTTAAACTGGTTTCCTTTTTGGTGTTCAGTCAGTTGTCACCGATCAGGGAGAACATGTGATATTTGTCCCTTTGGGACTGGCTTATTTCACTCAGCATGATGTGTTCCAGATTCCTCCATTTTGTTGCAAATGACTGGATTTCATTGTTTCTTACTGCAGTATAGTATTCTAAAGAATACATATCCCATAATTTCTTTATCCAGTCTACCGTTGATGGGCATTTAGGTTGGTTCCAGGTCTTGGCTATTGTGAATTGTGCTGCAATAAACATTAGGGTGCAGACCGCTTTTTTGTTTGCCAATTTCATTTCCTTTGGGTAAATTCCAAGGAGTGGGATGGCTGGGTCGAACGGTAGGGTTATATTCAGGTCTGAGGAATCTCCAGACTGACTTCCATAGTGGCTTGACCAGTTTGCATTTCCACCAACAGTGGGTTAGTGTCCCTTTTTCCCCACATCCTCTCCAGCATCTGTTGTTGGTAGATTTCTGAATGTGAGCCATTCTCACCGGGGTGAGGTGAAACCTCATTGTGGTTTTGATTTGCATTTCCCTGATTGCTAGTGATCTTGAACATTTTTTCATGTGTCTGTTGGCCATTTGGATTTCCTCTTTTGAAAAATGTCTATTGAGGTCCTTGGCCCATCTCTTAAGTGGGTTGTTGGTTTTGTTGTTGTGGAGTTTCTTGATCTCTTTGCAGACTCTGGTTATTAATCCTTTTTCTGTAGCATAGTTTGCAAATATTTTTCCCCATTCTTGTACCCAGCCTTTTATATTCAATGCTTTTACAGCATTGTGTTTTGGTGAATAGCAATGCAAAGGTTTCCTGTACTCTCAGATACTGTAATACATAGCATAATTCTGGCACTTCTTAATCTGCTTCCTCTAGAATATGATGGAAATAATAGGAGGGAATAGAATGATATCTCTACAACTTGAGTGTCTAGATGGCCTTCCTTCCCTCTCCAATTCCCATTTCTTTTTTAATATTATATTTCTATTTATTTGGAAGGCAGAGTTAGAGAGAGAGAGGAAGATACACAAGAGAAGAGAGACAGAGAGGGAGAGAGAGAGTCTTCCATCCACTGGTTCACTCCCTAAGTTGCCACAACAGCCAGGGCTATGCCAGGCCAAAGCTTCATCCAGGTCTCTCACATGGGTTTCAGCGCCCAAGGACTTGGGTCATCTTCCACCAATTTCCCAGGTGCATTAGCAGGAAGCTGGATCAGAAGTGGAGCAGCTGAGACATGAACCAGCACCCAAATGGGATGCCAGCATGGTAGGCAGTAGTTTAACCCCTTATGCCATAATGTGGACCCTCCAGTTCCTATTTCTAATTCTGGATGGCCAGGTTCTTCACCAATTCTTTGGGATCATTTATTTATAGCATGAATTGCATTAAAGATAGAAGTAAATTCTTTCGCCTTTCTCCTAAAGAGAAATGGGGCTGGACTTAGTGACTCACTTTAAACCAACAGAATATTATGACATCAAAACTACATGACTTTTGAAGCTAGCACAGAATAAGCCTGACAGCTCCTGCTTTGGTCACAAAACACTCTCTTCATGCACCAGGGACCCAGTCATAATGTTACTTAGGAATACAAGTAACAAAAGCCATGGGTAGTAACCTTAGTCAAGAGCCCAGCACTGAGGTCCTAGCCCACAGTCAGTATCAAATGTCAATCATGGGAGGAACCCTCTGGAACACCCAGCCCACTTGAGTCTTCAGTTGACTCCTGTCCTAGTCAAAATCTGACTAGCATTTCAAGAAAGACCCAAGGCAAGAACCACTCAGCTGAGTCCTTCCCAATTCCCAAGCCACAAAACTGTAAGCAAATTAAATAATTGTTTTTAGTGTTATTTGTTATGCAGTAACAGATAACCAGAATATGCAACATATATTAGGCATATCTAACCTCAAAGTCCAGGATTTTTTAATGACAAAGTTTTGTCTGTTTTGATACTCAGTGAGTTTAAAATTAACTGGGAGAGCCACGGGTATAGGCAAATATGATGAGGAAATACAACATATGCAACCCTTGGTTGTCTCTAAATATCATTCCACCCCAAAGGTTTGACATGCTATATGTGAGTTAAATGTTGCTTGTGTCTCTTTCAAAGAGGAGTAGGTTTTTGGTTCTTGAAAGAGAAGAAAGATACTTAAAGGACTGATTTGAAAAGCAATATAATTGTCCTACCCTACTCTAGGTAGACTAAGGACTAAAGTATGCCAGGATCATAGTAATACAGCAGTGGCAGGAGGATGACCAGGGAAGCAAACAAGTGGTGTGCACACTCACTTTCTTCAAACAATGTTTAGGGAAGAGACAGGCATAAAGGGAAACCTTGGAGAAAGTATAGAGAAAACCCAACTGATGAATGAGTGGAATCTATTTCTCATGTGCAGACACTGGTAGATGCCATTATAAACAACCTGCTTTCCAGATCCAAGGAAGAATTGAATCATCAAGATTTTGCTAGTGCAACACCATTGTTGTGCCTGAATGAGTGCAAACAGTGGAGTACCACACATTGATAAAATTTGACAGTCCTTTATGGCCAGTGGTGGAGAGCAGGCTCATGCCCTAAAGAACTCTAGACCCCAAAGCTCAAAGCAACAGGGTTAATAAAGACAAAAACCACAAGGAGGGGAGGGAGAATACATGGTTGCTAGAATTGAGGGAAATACTTGGTTACTAGGGTCAAGCTGGCCTAAGGCCTATGTGAAACCAGTATCAATTACAATCTTGACAATAGACAAATTACAATCTTAACATTAATCCAGGTATTTTAAATGCTAGGGCATTTCTGTGTTCTGCCAAGTGGGATGCAGTGTACTGTAGTGTCTAAGTTCTAGACCATAGTTAGTTCTAGTCCGTAGTCTCTCAGTGGTGGGTACTTTCTCAGGACGGAGCCTCGCGTGCTCTAAAATAGAGTCTCTACTGTTAAGGTGTCACATCATCATGACATACCGAAACAGCTTTTGGCAGTCTGTGTTCTGCTCTTTTTTATCAATTTCTTCCTCTGTTTCTCCCTCCACATGAAAAAATGTGGCTGATGCATGATCCTTGAGTATTTGTTTCAGTTCCAATCACACAGAGCTGCCTCATAGTCTCAGTGCTAAAATGAAGACTGACTTGAATTCTTCCAGTGATTCAACAGACTTGAGTCATCAACCAGTCAGGGCTAGGAGGTGGGGTTATGTAGTACAATCATGATGAGCAGGAGCCCACCACTTCTTGTGCAGGAGGTGGGGGGAGATGGAGCAGTTCTCAGAGAAGGAGAATCACTGTGGACAGGGAATGTGCTCCAAAGTTGTCTACTTGGTAAAATGTCTCCAAAACAACAAACACTCAATAAACCATAGCTATTACAATAAAAATGTTTATTATGGTTCTTAGATCAATTACCAGAAAAGTCTGCATTTGGTCTGGAGTACCTCAAAGACATTTGTGTGACAAAAGAACCTTTTTCGCCAGTGTCCCAGACTGACTGACCACATGATCTCATTTCATGTTGGGGTCTATACTGAAAACATCACCATCAAAACTGACCCAATAATATTCATGAAACACAATCAAGTGGGCCAGCAGAGTCACAAACAACAAACAAAAAAAGCAATTACCTACCAGAACAAACACCTCCACAGGGAGAAGGCTTTGTCCTAATTCATAACAACAACTGCTGGTTATTGGATATTTACTCGCTCCCTGTCACTTGAAAGTCCATTGAGAATTTTATTCCATTTAATATTCACAATAGTGCTATGGGGCTGAGTGTGATAATTCCCATCCCCAATATGGAGAAAATTAAATTCAAGGCTTAAGTAACCTCTTAATGAATAAACAGCCAGGCTGGGAGTCAAATCCCGAGCTCTCAGCTGAACTTCTTAACATTCTTTGTGGAAGCACATAGTACTGCCTGACCATGGCTCTCTGGCAGCTGCAAGGCACAATTCCTCACAGCCTTTCTTCTCCAGCTGACCCCATGTGCCACTTCAGTCTACTCCACCATGTCTTTTATTCCATCTCTGGAGAGGGCACTTATTATTTTGTCTGTCTAGTTATCCCCTTGCCCACACTTCCCTCACAAAAAAGACAGCCATGCCTCTCTCCTCTCCTTCTCTCCCCTTTCTTTTTTTTTTTTTTTTTTGTTTTTTTTTGTTTTTTTTTTTAACTTTTATATAATGAATATAAATTTCCAAAGTATGATTTATGCATTACAATGGCTTCCCCCACATACCGTCCCTCCCACCCACTACCCTCCCCTTTCCCACTCCCTCTCCCCTTCCATTCACATCAAGATTCATTTTCGATTATCTTAATATACAGAAGATCAGCTTAGTATACATTAAGTAAGGATTTCAACAGTTTGCTCTCACACAGAAACATAAAGTGAAAAATAATAGATGATTTTTTTTAAATGATGATGAAATCAGATCAGACCTATTGTCATGTTTAATCCCAGTGAGAGTCAAGTTGGAGTTGATAATTTCTTTTTTTTTTTTCCACAGAGGATCAGTTTAGTATACATTAAGTAAAGATTTCAACAGTTTGCACCCCCATAGAAACACAAAGTGAAATATATTGTTTGAGTACTCGTTATAGCATTAAATCTCAATGCACAGCACATTAAGGACAGAGATCCTACATGAGGAGTAAGTGCACAGTGACTCCTGTTGTTGACTTTACAAATTGACACTCCTGTCTATGGCATCAGTAGTCTCCCTATGCTCCAGTCATGAGTTTCCAAGGCTATGGAAGCCCTCTGAGTTCTCCGATTCTTATCTTGTTTAGACACGGTCATAGTCAAAGTGGAGGTTCTCTCCTCCCTTCAGAGAAAGGTACTTCCTTCTTTGAAGACCTGTTCTTTCCACTGGGATCTCACTCGCAGAGATCTTTTGCCAGAGTGTCTTGGCTTTCCATGCCTGAAATACTCTCATGGGCTTTTCAGCCAGATCCGAATGCCTTTAGGGCTGATTCTGAGGCCAGAGTGCTATTTAGGACATCTGCCATTCTATGAGTCTGCTGAGTATCTCACTTCCCATGTTGGATCACTCTCCCCTTTATTAATTCTATCGGTTAGTGTTAGCAGGTACTAGACTTGTTTATGTGCTCCCTTTGACTCTTAGTCCTTTCATTATGATCAGTTGTGAACTGAAATTGATCACTTGGACTAGTGAGATGGCATTGGCACATGCCACCTTGATGGGATTGAATTGGAAAAACTGTTTTCAACAATTGAGACAAAGGCTGTTCAAAGTCATTGCATCTCCAAGTGTCAATTTCAGCTCTATAGGTATAGGTTACCTTTTCTTTTTTTTTTTTTTTTTTTTTTTTTTGACAGGCAGAGTGGGACAGTGAGAGAGAGAGACAGAGAGAAAGGTTCACCCTCCAATGGCCGCCGCTGACGCACGGCGGCCGGCGTACTGCACTGATCCGATGGCAGGAGCCAGGTACTTATCCTGGTCTCCCATGGGGTGCAGGGCCCAAGCACTTGGGCCATCCTCCACTGCACTCCCGGGCCACAGCAGAGAGCTGGCCTGGAAGAGGGGCAACCGGGACAGAATCCGGCGCCCCGACCGGGACTAGAACCCGGTGTGCCGGCGCCGCGAGGCAGAGGATTAGCATAGTGAGCTGCGGCGCCAGCTATAGGTTACCTTTTAAGTACTCTATTAGTTACTACAGATCAGGGAGAATATATGGTATTTGTCCACTTGGGACTGGGTTATTTCATTAAATATAATGTTTTCCAGTTTCATCCATTCATTGCAAATGACAGGATTTTTTATTTTTTACCACTTTGTAGGATTCTATAGTGTACATATCCCATAATTTCTTTATCTACTCTTCAGTTGATGGACATTTGGGTTGATTCCATATGTTAGCTATTGTGAATTGAACTGTATCTTTTCAGTCTTAAAAGAATATATATCAAATATATATATATATAATATATAATATATATATCCAGTAAGGAATATGTATGTTATTATATATACAACATATATATATATATATATATATATTATATATATTCCTTACTGGATATAACATTTGTTTGAAGCTAAGTAACAGAGATTCCTACCCTTCAATCTGGTTTTTTTTTTTTATCTTTTATTTAATGAATATAAATTTCCAAAGTACGACTCATGTGTTACAATGGCTTACCCCCCATACCGTCCCTCCCACCCACAACCCTCCCCTTTCCCACTCCCTCTCCCCTTCCATTCACATCAAGATTCATTTTCGATTATCTTAATATACAGAAGATCAGCTTAGTATACCTTAAGTAAGGATTTCAACAGTTTGCTCCCACACAGAAACATAAAGTGAAATATAATAGATGATTTTTTTTAAATGATGATGAAATCAGATCAGACCTATTGTCATGGTTTAATCC